ATTTAAAATTGACACTGGCATTATCATGTCTTTTAATTAAAAAAATTGCATGACTCATAATAATATTGTGTTTGGTTTTAACTAATATCGACTGTTGTATGAAAATTGGGAATTAAATGGCTATTATTATTATTATTATATAGATGGAACTCGCTCTTCCAAGCGTCCCCTCAGGGCTGGAGTTCCTCAGGGCTCCGTACTCTCCCCGCTCCTTTAATAATTTTTTTAATTCTTTTTTTTTTAAAAACGTTACCCCTACACTAAGATTTTCTCTTGTATCGTAGGGGCAGTTTACAAACATAAATTGCACAAGGACAAACATCCAGACCCGGAACAACTATTTGTAGGCCATACAAATACTTGTTCCGTGCGGGATTCGAACCCGCGACCCCCAGCGCAGCCACTCATTGCTAAGCCACTGCGTCACGGAGTGCTCTTCACACTCTACACGAGTAATATCTCGAAGGACCTATATGTCAACACCGCTCTCTTCGCAAACGACATGGCACTCAACGTCTCTCATTTCAGTAAGCATTATCTCACAACGATGCTCCAAACAGCCGTCAATCGCCTAGACGAATGGTTTCGCTTATGGAGAATTGAAGTAAGCCCTAAAAAAAGTATAGCAATATACTTTCAAAGGAAACCCACCCTTAATTGTCGGAACCTAAAACCGAAAAAAGTCATAGGCACTTATTCGGCCGCCAGATCCCGGGGCAACAAACCGCTAAATTCAGGGGTCACGTTCGACCACTCTATGACCTTCTTGAAGCACATTTGCGCCGTCCGAAATCGTGCTAAGTTCATCACTAGCTGACTCCACCCGCTAGTTAACAGTAAGAGCAAATTGTCCCTAAGACACAAGCTATACATCTAAAAAGCTTGCGTAAGACCTATCATGTCCTACGCAAGCGTAGCTTTTGTACACGTAGCACATGCACGTTTGAACTACCTACAAGTCTTCCAAAACAGATTCATACGCATCGCCATCGGCATACACACTACACACTCACCTAGTGCCACAAACAACGGACGGGACACAACAAGTCCACAGACGGGCGCGTCGCACACTCCTCCACACCGCTTACACACCGTACACCCGCGTCCCTGGGTGGTTCTCACCGCCCAGAATATCGAACGACACGAGATCATCATAGTCCGCATAAGTTTTTATTTGATTATAAGTAATACATAGATAAATAATACCAAGGTGTTATTTGAAATTCTTTTTTTAAGTATTTAGAATTTTTTTCTGAAAAAATCTTAGAAATTATTGAAAATAAGTTTATTATTTTTCTACAGGTTTATTTTACATTATGCAGGATAAAATTTTAAACATTTAACAAATCGAAATAGGTTTAGTTAACTTATTTTAAAACTCAGATTGTTGGAAAAGAAAAGTCCAATCAGTTTATCGTCTCAGATGTTGTTAACCAAGTTTTTGTTTTTATTATAAAGCTTCGTTATCACAAAACCGCTAATTAAAATAGTTGTTGATTTTCAAGAGTTATCAAACGAACTGTCCGGAAAATATTTAATAAATTAGGAAAACAAAAAAGTTTTACACTATATAATAGTTTAACATAGTGAACTTTAAGCAGACAGCTGCTTAAAAATAAAACGTGACATCTACCTAGGGCTAAGTATTCCCCAGAAAGATGTTTTACTTTAACTTTACATTACTATTCACCGAAAGCTTAACAATATGTGCGAAATATCAAAAGTTTTGAAATTGATCTGCCTTCATCACATGCGATAACAAAGTAATACAGTACAATTTATGGTCGACTTAGCCACAAAAAAAAGCGTTAACTGTTTTAAAACTTAGACTATAGAGTAACCCTGATAAGAAATTATATTGTATATTAGTGATAGATGGAATGAAAATAAAACAATTGACGGAGTACCATGCAAGTTAAGAATTTTGGTTATATACATAATGCCTTTGGCTACTAGCATGGTATTCTGTCAATTGCTTAATTTTCATTTCATCCATTACCAAGGTACAATAAAAAAATATCAGGGTTACTCTCCGCTCTCAATGTTAATGCCGTCAGCGCTTCTTGAGCAAACCCTGGTCGGCGATCGATGGTAGTATACCACCTATTCAATGTACGGGTGCAGACGAACATATTCCAAAAGTTTTACGTACATAGCGACAGGCTTTTGGTGAGTAATAGTTAAGTGTTAGGGCATAGTATTTCTTGTAAAGCCTGTTTATGCTATTGTTTTTTATGTCAAAGCATTTTTTTCTTTCTAATTTTTCAGTGTTGGCTCGTACTCGCAGTGGGAGTAGGACTAGTTCGGGATAGGATTTTTTTTCGAATTGTGACTTTCGAGATAACTTATGGAATTTTGCCGGAACATCCAGCTTTCTTTTTTCGATGTAGACGATATTGTGCAATCACCACGATCACCCTAAAATAAATAATTTTATTTTAGTCAGAAGATTCAAGCTATATTTTTATTATTACTAGATATATATATATATATATATATATATATATATACAGAGACATACATGTTTTGCCATTTATGGCGTACAAAAATTATACAACAATAAGTTTACAATTACAATAATAAGTATATAAATATATGAATTAAATTTGATAGGTTAGTGCTTTTGTAGACTTAATAAAATATTTTCAAGTAGAATAATATTGGTGTCAAAGGTAATAATAAAAATATTTAATCTAAATATAATTACAGCCCAACATTACCTCCCACAAGTTCAAGGTTGGTACTGCAGTGTCAGATTCATGGTTTCTACAAGCTACAATCCAAGTGTGCCGCCTAACAGGATCTCTTGAAAATCTGTAATAACAAACCAATAATAGAAAAATTTACTACTTTTTGTAATACTTTATTATAAAATCTAAATAAAAACTACAAACCGGTTCGGCAGATAAACCCGCATGGTTAATTAACTTATCGATAGCTAAAGTTACGGCGTTCATCACTATAGTGCAATACTTTCGGTTGCAGTGATACCAGTTTATTTTTATAAAAATTGCACACTTTTGCTGCGAGGTAGCAAGTTTCGATTTGACTTATTTGGCCCGTATTTTGTATAATATTTTAATAAATACTAGTTATCGATTATATTTAATTATATAATATTCAGCATCATGTTAAAATTGAGCTGAATTTATAAATTATTTTACAAAATCCACTACACATCTATATGTAATGATTATTACTTATTACAAACTGATTTACTTATTAGATTTAAATATATTTTCGTTAATATATATAGCTTGTGTAGTAAATTATATTTTTTTTAAATAATTTTTTCACTTTATGAACTATGATGGCCACACTCGTTATTGGACGATTATATTCACAAAGTACGAGTTTTAATGATAAAATTACTTTAATATTATGTTAAAAATACTCACAGATGAAAAATCAAATTGTCCTTTTGTATACTTGACGTTTTTGATTGTTTTTTTCATGTAAATACACTGCAATTCGGCATTTTGTCGGAGCTCGATTTACTGGCACGATCACTTCTAAATGACGCACGACTTTTTTTTTGCGCCCGAAGCAAATATGGGCAACCCTCCGGAAAGCGAGGGAGGGAGGTTGAGAATGCTCATAGCATACCACGCAGCCGGCTGCGTGGTTATGTGGTGACTTTTACCCACTAAACTCAACCTTTTAGGAATTGGCTTAACGATCTGACTAGAGATCTCTAAGCCGTATACGAACGCGACCCTCCTTGGCAGAAAGGAGGGCGCAGGACGCACGACGCGGAGCAACTAGTTTTATATAACGAGTATGAGTCGGACTCTCGCACCTTTTACAGAGGGGAATACCTTTCGATGCCATCTCCTTTGGTTTAATACACAAAGACGTGCACTGTACACTGTCCTAGGAGTCATCGTTACGCAAGTAACGATGCGGAATGTTCGAATTCACTTTTTTACAGCCCGCTGCCTTTCAGGCCTTTCAGGCCACAGGCCGCGACTTCTATGAAGCTATAAGAGCCGCATAGGCTAGCAGCATTAAAATCATCGAAACCAAATCAAATTTTATATTTCTTTAATATATTTTATGACGTCCATCCGTTTAATGCAGCCATTCTAATTGCAACTAAATCGCTGGCATGAATATTTGGATTAGTTGCGGTTATTTACATATACGATTACATTACAAGATATGCTTAGGGTTGGTGCAACGCAGTGACTTAGCATAGGTTTCTATCGCCGTGAACTCTCTCAAATATCATTTTCACAAATAGAGCAAAAAATATTAAATCGGTAAAAGTCTTCCATATACTGGATGACCTTTTTTGCCGTCTGGAAAACATAGGGTATAACATAATATGAACGAAGTAGAAGCCTTTGTCACTGATCTTTTACAAAAAATAAAAACAATAATTTTGATAAAAAATAAAAATATAAATTTCTTTGCAACCTTCCGCTTAATAAATACAATGATGTGTCTTACCTGAATTGAAGATATGATAAGATATTATTTATATTTTTATTTTTTATTATAATGGATTTCCGCAAAGTAACGCCTGATTCTATCAAAAATTTTGAATTAAACGTTCGGAAAAATTTTTGTGCTCCTTCCCCGTGCCATTGAGCCTGTAACCCTGCGAAGTGACAAGTTAAATGATGCCTACTAATTGTATTGTTTCATTGCAGTTTGTAAAGTATATGAATTGAATTTTGATGGACTATGTTAATTAATTTATTTATTTAATTCAAAATTTTAGTTTTTATTTTTTGTAAAATACCAGTGCCATAGGCTTCTACTCCGTTCACATGTTACACCTTATTTTTTCCAGACGGTAAAAAAGGTCATCAAGGAATGATATTAAAAACATTTATGACTTCGACGTAACAATTAAAATTAAATTTTTCAAATTTGAAATTTCTAAAAATATGTTAGTGACAACCCTATTTAATTTTTACGTATGTGACATGCGTTTACTAAACGGAGCGCAAATACGTACGGGAGTTAGTGAGTAGTTGGTCATGTGTTGGTACATGTACTTAATTTTTTGTTTAGTGGCTCTGGTGTACAGTGAACAAAATGGTTTGTACTATGTTTCATGTTTTTAATAACATTTTGATTTTTTTTCAAGCTGATATGGCATATTGCAACTAATCGGGGGTCACAAATTCTTTTTGGCCTATATCATAGACGCTACTTAGAAACGGGTGATGTATTGCCGCCGTCACAATGCAGCTATGTTTATTTTTCTAAAGATATATAAAAAAACCCACCCCCTTGTGGCGGCTTCTCACTGCGTGTGTTACACGGAGCAAATTTGCTTCGTGGTGTGCTATCACGCGCCGCGCCGCCCGTGTTGATTTGTACGCGCAATAACGCGCCACGTGCGAGCCCCGCGCCACCCGTTTTAACTGGCGCGGTGTGGCGTGTGCTTGCCCAAACTCCGAGCCACTGAGTCAGTCTGTTTATCGCAGCGCACTTGATGTCGTGTGAGTCGAATTGCCACCTCTAGCCATGGAGTCAGTCTGTTTATCGCAGCGCACCTGATGTCGTGTGAGTCGAATTGCCACCTCTAGCCATGGAGCAATGCCACTGAAGAAGAATGCATCGCTGTTGCTTCAGATGCTTTTGCCTTATTTTGTGGATCGCGGCACGGCGCGTGATAACACACGCAGTGAGAAGCCACCATTAGAAACGAGAGGGGGCCCGTGTCCGGCTGTGGAACTTATGTAGGCTGTAACATTATATTATATTTACAACAGTAATGGTTTAATTTTACTGAAAATAATGCGTTTTTCTTCTCAAAAACCTTCCAATCACAAAATCATGATCTGAAGGCATTGATAGTAATGATATGGTATAGAATAATCGATATATATACATGATCGTGCCAAATGGAAGTTCGTAGTCTCTGCCTACCCCTCTGGGTTACAGCCGTGAGAGTTAATGTTTATGTTGACCGATCCTTTTCCTATGTATTAATTTTTATGAGTTTAAATTAAATTGTTTCGTTACACAAAATTTATTTTTTATTTGATAGCATAATATTATTAGTGTTAATTTTATTCTTTGTAATATAACTTTGTAAAAGTTGTGTAATGTGACACAGTACTTCATGTTACATTACACTTAATTTTTTACGGTATTATTATCACAGAGTCTAAATTAAAAATTTGCAGTGGTGAGAGAAGGTAAGTATATGAGTTTCATGCTATAGAAATGTAATCTAAGAGCCCTCTTACATTTCGACATTACGCAAATTTAGGTATTTACGCCCGAGCGGGCCACACCGGCATTCGGTGCCGTTGCGGCACTCGGTCAATGCCGTTGTCGCAACGGCATCACCACAAATTGTGGCGTAACTTAATGAAATGCATGTCGATTTATTACTTATATCACTAGATTACACTAGTGATATTAGTTTTACCGCATCTAACGGGAATACTGAGAAATTAACAATCAAACGGCAATCTTATTATAACCTAAAACTTATATGTGCGACTGTCTAGTAGTTTTTATCGATATTCTATGTTATAATAGTGCAGTGTTAATAACAAAAAGTATAAAAAAGCTGTAGGTTCTTCAAAATATTAAATACTAGGTGGATTCTCCGAAACCACTAAAAGAATATTTTTAGTAGTTCCAGATAACACGAACACAGTAGTTCACGAATAAACAGACTGCGGTGATTTATATGTAGCTATTGATTCTTAATTGTATGATTTATTATGATACCGGTTAGATTTTTATAAAATCTTTAGCCAGTTTACTATAGTAAATTGGTATCTTTTTTATGAGTTTAAATTACGTAAAATATTATTGGTTCAAAAACGATGTAAAACGCCTAACAAAAGCCAGCCGGGCCGGGCCGGACACCGTCTAATTTGGCCGGACATGCAACTAAAAAAGCCTGACTGTGTCCGGCTTTATCCAGACGCCTGGCAACGCTAGCCACGGTCTTCGACGCCCATTACGATAATATCTAAAAGAGAGACGGAGCGCGCGAAATAAAATAATACAGGTCGACTTCGACGAGCGCTCACGCTCTATTGAACGCATAGGGCCGGCGCAGTGAAATATATGGTTATTTTATTTAGTTAGTTAAAAAATAAAAGTAACGATTTAAAAAAGTAAAAATCATGGTAGATTTTAAAAAAATGTTGATAATTATTTTAATATAAATTTTACGTCAAAATTATGTAGAACTTTGGAGATATTGGGGCTTGTATCTAAGCTTTTTCGGTACATAATTGAATAATGTCAATTTTTTCCCTTACGTGAAAGGCATATAACGAAAATGTATTTAATAATCATTAAAGTATAGGATATTTGTGACTTAAAAATTTTTTTTCGATGGTCGATATTCAATACAATCTATAAATTAGAGCTCCCAAATCGCCCTCCTTTCTGCCAAGGAGGGTCGCGTCCGTATACGGCTTAGAGATCTCTAGTTAGACCGTTAAGCCAGTCCCTAAAAGGTGGGGTTTGGTGGGTAAAAGTCTCTACATAACCACGCAGTCGGCTGCGTGGTATGCTATGAGCATTCCCCACCTCCTTCCCCCGCTTTCCGGAGGGTTGCCCATAATTGCTTGGGGCGCAAAAAAAATTCACACAGCTCCCAAATCATGTCTTTCAGAATTTTGGCCGAAACATGCATATTGAGAATGATTATTATTAAATAAATAAAAAAGTTATCTAAAATTTGCCTTGAGCTTATTATAGCAGAGAAAACGAACTATTTTTACCAAGTAATTGTTATTTCAAGCAACGAACGGAAAATATATAATTTCAACAAGGAAAACTTGTAGTTTCGCCTTTTTTCGTAATACTCCTCTTGTCACGCTTCGATTTGAAATTAAAAAATAATATTCGACTAAGTTTAATATTTAACGGTGGTTTTATAATAACAACTTAAATAAGTAAATAAGAAATCAACGGGATAATATGGGGGGTTGTTCTTTCTTATTATAGTAGTGGCGATTACAATACCCAGTACCCCATATCGTCCCTTGGGTGTAGTAAGAGGATATTGAGAGAAATAGATACTCCGTCCCTTGTTTCTGTTTATCTTCTTATAACAAGTTAAAATAAAAACTGCGGTTGCCAACTAGCCTGCAACGATAGCAAAATCCCGACTATGAAACAATATCTACGAGGGAGGCCTGTGTTCAGTAGTAGATTTTTATAGACTAATTAATGTATGGAATGAATACGTTTTCTTACGTCTCCCTTAAACAGAAGCATCAGATAAATATTTATTTCTATATACGTCTTTTTCTAAGTAAGGTTAAGATAAATATTGAAATTTCCAGTTTCAGAATATAAAGGTATTCTCACACCTGACTGCACGCGAGCTTATTACCGCATATTCGTCACACGAAGAGTTCCACCACGAAATTACCATTATTTTCACGAGAAAATTGATCTCCATCAAAAAATTTCGGACAATAGCCAAGGAAAAACTTTAGAAGATGATGTAAGTAAAGATCAAAATAATTAAAATTAAACTAATTACTACTTGCGTCGTGCTAATTATTCTTTCCAGAGTCTTGTTGAATCGTATTACTTAGTACGCTATTAGATAAGTTACCTTTCTCGAAATGTTTTCAATTAGTTATTTTATCATATTACATATAGTTTCTCCATATTTTGTACACCTTTTACACCTTTGTACATTTATTTAACCATGGTTCGTATCAGCCAGTTTCATAGAGATAAGAACGCCTGTTGTACTACTTTTGATTGAACTCTACCCGTTTTCTGAATTTTGGTGTACAATAAATAACACATAAATAAAATAATATATAATTTAAATCTAACTTATTCCAGTAAGAACTATCTTAACTAGCTAACGAAGACCCTAGGAGACCTACCATCATCTTTGGTTTATTTAGTGGTACCCCTACTACCAACTGGCAACAGAAATAAGTGAGAGATCTATCTACTCAGAAAAACTACCAGACAGAAAGGAGTTCAACATATAATGTGCAATGGTTTTCGTCAACAACAAGACATTTATTTAATAATCGTTAATTCATCATCACCATGCTAGCCCTTCACAAGTCCACCGCTGAAAAGATTTCCCCAAAGAACGCCACAAAGCACGGTCCCGAGCCACCTGTTTACATCGACTTCCTGCATGTCTTACCACGTCGTCACTCCATCTTAATAGAGGGACGCCCTATAATCGTTGATTGTTTGCAGTTAAACTGGAGAATTGTTGGAGGGAACATAGTTTCCATTGAGGACGTGCCTTACCAAGTGCTATACGGTCGATACTGCGGCGGCAGTCTGATAGCACCCCAATGGGTGATAACTGCCGCACACTGCAAGTAAGTAACTACAGACGAAAATATATTGTTACGTGCAGGTACCCTTTTTACTGGAACCGAGATATTCAATCTCAGTGTTCACGTGTAAACGTATCTACGTTTTTGGGCTTGGGACGTCTTTGGGCCACAGCATCCACTTACCCTTATATGGAGTGTATGCTCCTTTGTCAGCCTTATTCTATTTAATGAGGATGGGTACAAAGCTTAATAGTTTAAACAGCAATTTAAAAAACCCGACTGCTTAAACAGTTTACTGAAAAGTGAATAATTATTTTAATGTTAATAAGACCAAGTATACGATTTAAAAATTAATTTGTCACAGTTTTACTCAGATGAAGTAATTTACTTCATCTGAGCAGTTTTATCATAAGTTTTGAAAATTTAATTGGTAATAGTTGCAAACCAAATTTAAAGCGTTTTAGATACTGAATGGTTGTTCAAAAAATGGTTAGAGAAACCTTAACATATTTCATCGACTTTTTTTTTCTTTCTACAATTTGACGTCCGGCTGTCGTCATATTGTTAGTGATACTCACATGATTAAGACAAATCGATTGGCGCAAGAATCATCAAAATCGTCCCATGTTGTCTAGAGCACCACTCAGAAACAATCATACATACATTTATAGGTTGATAAAGATATTACCTTCCTTTGCTTCGTGCAGTCAGGTAGGTATAAATCTCTATACTTAGTAGAGCTACGCTGCTAATTTATTACGTTTGCAGCGCGAATGGGTTGGCTCCACCTGGAAAGTTCCACCCCCTAGCGTGAAACAGCAGTTTAGTGCTGGTGTATTTTGTATGGTAAGAGTAGAGAATCAGGGAACATTTTTATTGGAAACAAGGTCTTTCCATATTAGTCCTCGGCGGTAACAAGTGCAGATGATTTTGATTCTCAATCGAGGATGGATTAGACGTGTATGTGCCATAGCATACACTCACCATCGGATAGACTGCGTGCTCATTTGTTACAGGTATTCTGTAAGAATGTCCATTACGCCATGTCTTCCCATAGTTGTCATAAGAGGCGATAGAGGAGAGAAACCAGGAGATGGGCAGCACCGTCATCCCTTTATAATTTTTTATTTATTTAAAACCTTACCCGGATGTTCTCCTGTAGAGGCAGTTTACATACACAACTTGCACAAAACAATTAGACCCAGAACAATTATTTGTACCCCATACAAACTCCTGTTCCGTGCGGTGTCACAACTAAAGGATACAAAACTGTGTTTGCCAACTCGCCTGCCAAGCGTGGCATCTGTGGAAAATATCGCGCTTATGAGGCAATCGATGAAAGTACCCGATATGCAGCAGTGGACTTTTAATAATTCTAAAACGGTAACGGTATGTTCCTGAGGGTAACCTTTCATCTCAAAAGGGAAAACATTGACATAATTTCTTTCCCTTTCAGGGATAAGGAAACATTCGTCCTAGCTGGATCTACTCGACGCAGTCAAGCCAAAAGTTACAAAATCTGTGCACATTTCATTCACCCAAAGTGGAACACGAGTAAAACTCACAACCACGACTTCGACTATCAACTCGTACTTTTAGAAACACCAATACCAGTGACACCAAGTTCCAGGCCCATAGCTATAGGAAGTCTTGATGACGTCAAGCCAGGCAGCATGACGTCTATAAGTGGTTGGGGTCATTTGCAGTTTAAGGTAAAGTATATTATCGAGTATAAGAATACTATGAATAATTAAAATTCTAAATGGCAATTATTTTCACGCCGTTTCTAGTTCTGACTAGTTTTTTTTTAATCAAATTGAAGTGACATACAAACTTAAAGCCCACCTGATGATAAGTGACTACTGTAGCCCATGGACACCTGCGACCAGCTTGAAATAAAAAAGGTAAGGAATGCTTTGTCACCTCCAAGGACTAAGATAGAATGCCTCACATCTTGCAAATAAACTGGCTCTCTATACTCTTCAAACCGGAATACAGCAGTATTGCTGTTTGGCGTCAGAAGTAGGTAAGAAGAAGGGTAACTGTTTAAACCAATAGTATTAAGGATTAATTCTGTAGCTGACCGGGAAATTAGTTTAAAAAGAATGCGATTGAATTAGGTTGTAAAATGTTTTGTTCTGTGCACATTTCACTTCACATTTAATTCACTCCTAGTGGAACACGATATAAATCTACTCCCACGACCAGACAAACAGAGAAGGATGCGATTGACTAAGATCGTAAAATATTATTCACGTATTTATTATTTAAGAGGATACCTTGAAAATGAATCGAAGTTTTGGGGGCGTGGCTTATTCCTTTGTCGGTGAAGCTAACGGACGACTGAGGGAGTGTCAAAATGAAAGTGATGCAATGACATAGTAGTACCTATGCAAATTATAAGATAGCCATACCATATTATTTATTCTGTGGCCATACCGAGCAAGCGCTCGGAAAACAACTAAGTAAGCGCCAAATAACAATTTTCATTTATTTCAACAAAGCTTCGTTATGGATTAAAAAACTGGTTTATGAAAACTTAGATATGATTATTTACTATGCCTTAAAAATTATTCCATGAAATTATTCGTAAGAACATTGTGGTGTCATCGAGAAATGTAAATAATTAGCGCCTCTACTTTGCAATTTTTTTCTATCGAGAAAATTACATGGTATCGTGTTTTCCTTTTATACAATCCAAGATCATACACCAAAATTTTTGTTAGTAATCTATAAAACTTAAAAAAATATGTTAAAAAAACCCACCAAATTTTCGAGGTATCACATTAAATCATTAGAGAAGAATGCGAGTTAATAAAAATGTGCGGATGTTAGATGTATAAGATGTATAAATTGAAGTGTCAAACTAACATACATACATAGGTACCTGTAGCTAGCTTCAAACAAAGAACACCAGTTTTATATGTGATAAATCCATGCTGCAGTTATATTATGGTTGCAGCACGGATGGGTCGGCTTGACTGGGGAAGGACCCCACTCTTATAGAATACCAGCGTAAAATAGCATCTCAATGCCGTTGTGTTTGAGCGTAGAGCGCAATGTGTGTGAGCGTAGCGTGAGAATTGGAGACCCTTAGTCCAAACGAGGCTTTAGATCTTAGTCCACAAGAGTGACAATGCAGCTGCAATTTGATTCTTAATCGCCGATAGATGAATGAATATATTTATGGACTACATCCAGTAATGCACTTATAATCAGGTATGCTCGTTAGTCACCCTTATTCTAAAAACACCAGTTGCTTCGTCACCTCTGAGGACTACGATCGAATGCCTTGTAGCCTGTAACTAGTCTGTTTTTTTATTCTCTTCAGACCGGAAACAGCATTTGACAGGAATAAGTAATATGGCGATACTCACCCGGAGGGACTTCTGGACAAAAAAGGAGTCCCACAACCTAGTAAAGTCATTAAATGTTCGGTCAATTTTTTAAATTTCTTTTCATATTTAGAAGAGCAGAATGCAAGACCTGGTTCGAAGAGTAAGCATTCCTGTAATGGATGACGAAGAGTGTAGAACATTGTCAAACGGTTTTTTTAAGAACATCACACCAAGGATGTTTTGTGCCGGATACAGAGCTGGCGCCAAGGATTCTTGTCAGGTAAGATTGTAGAAAAACTACAAAAACAAGGTACGCAATAGCAATACAGGAACCGATAAAAACAAGTATTATCAGTTCGAGTATTGCTATTGCGTACCTTACTTTGCTGGCAATAGTGGTTGATTTTGTTCTCAAGTATTTAACATATTATACTTGTCGCCTGTAATGCCCGAGGAAGTAGGTAGAGTTGGCAGAACAGCGAGCCACACGGACGATGTTTAGCCGTAAATATAAGTACAGATGGAAAATTGTGAAGGAAGTGACCAGTCTATTGCCTACATAATCACAAACACAGTATACTATTAGTCGCCTTTAATGACATACGAGGCAATTAACGTGGTTGGTACATTCTTTTCGTTGTAAGTCTCGCAAAAAATGGGACCTATAAATGTTCAAACTAACATGAGAATTGTTAACATTATTTGTTAATACTCGTCCCAATTTTTTTTCTGTAATGATAACTGCGTTATAAATCATTGTAACGATTTATTACGCACTCACGCACACATCTTTCTTCTTTCTTTCTCAGTCAGACTGTAAAAGTTCACTGCTGGACGCCTATTATGGGGATAGTATTTTTAAGCTATTGCATAGCTTCTATCGCGGGCCTTGAGCGCGGGGACCGAATCCAGAAATTCCGTAACGAAAAAAAACCTCACGCTCCCCACTCCGACGGGCACGGAGGTGTGGCGTTGAAAGCCGTGCATCGTCTAACGTCGTTTCAGTTCGGCAGACTTCGGCGCTCGGCAGACTTCGGCACGGTGTTTGTGTGCGTGCGACTAGACGTATGCGTGTACACTAGCTGCTAACTCAATGATAAAAATTCCTGAATAACCTACATGTATTGCAAGATATTAAAAATATTTTAAACAATATTAACTTCTCATTTATTCAATAACAGAAAAAAAATTGTTTTTTTATCCGTTCCATTTCATACACCACGCTCAAAAAGTGTAACTTGATTTAATATCAAAGACTTAACTGCATAAATAAAATAATATAATTATAGTTGCATAAGTTGATAAAAAATGTATGAAGAGCGTCACCGAGTGCCACACGTATTTTTTTATTGATATTTTTCAATACATATTCTATAGAATAAAATGGAATAGAATCGTTTTTATTCAATATAGATTTCATAAATACTTACTGAAAATCATTGAAGATTTACCACTGGTTCGGGAAAAAATCTCTGTCCTGGGAAGAACCAACAAGAAACCCAGTGGAACCTTTTAAAAGAAGTATATTTACAATATAATCTTCTATCTATCGAGATCTCCAAAACTATATGCCCAATTATATTCTATTGACTTGTATTTTGCCATATATACTCATTTTTTGACGTAAACACACAGTAAAAAAGGATTTTGGAAAATTTAACTATTGAGTGGGTGAAATAGGGCGTTACAGCTTTTATTTTATACAATTGAGTGTGATAACATTTAGAAAGAGCATGGTAGTGATCACCTCATTCTTAGAGGTTATTATAAACCATCTATGTATTTCAGGGAGACTCTGGTGGTCCAGCGGTGATCAATGGCAAGCTTGTTGGCCTGGTCTCTTTTGGAGTGGGTTGCGCGTTTCCCGACACACCGGGTGTCTACAGTAAGATTCCAGTTGTGCGGGACTGGATTAGATCCATCACAGCATTACCTCTTTGATTTATGGTTGTTCATAACCTGTAAATACAATTTAGTCTATTTAATATAATAATTTTTTTATGTAAAATAAATGTAAAAACTAAGGAATAAAACTATATTTACGGATTTTATCGCGTTTATAAACTTATTTTAATTTATTTTTAATTCACCCACGGTCACGGGGGAGGGGGGACTGAGATGTTTGACTTCCCAATTTCATAGTTAGCCCGGCTACCTTCAGTTTTTGAATATTAATTTTTGGTTTCCGCAGAAAGATCTGATCTTAGGGCAGTATCTTAAAGTCTTGCAGTGGTATGCTTGGGTTTGGGTTTAATTATGTTAATTATATGATCCCAAGCAGATGGCAGCACCCAGCCATCTTCTCTACACAGTCTAGTACACACTCTACCTGATGGTAAGTAGATGCTGGGGCCTATGACATCAACATCTATCATGGATTAAGAATCAAAATGCTACGTTGTCATCCCTGAAGACATAGGTGAAATGCCTCGTTTCCAGTAAAAAGCGTCTCCGGTTCTCTACATTAATCATACAAAATATAGCAACAGTGAATTGCTATTTCAAGCTGGTATTCTGTGAGAGTGTGATCCTTCCCAAGTAGAACAGTCACATTCCTGGTACAACTATAATATAGTTGCAGCGTGACCTTACAACATAAACGTAAAATTTTCACTGTTTGTCAATGGAAAGACAAACAGAACTTAACAAACAAACTTTTTTTATTCAATATGGATAATTAACAATACTTATTGAAAGTCATTTTTTTTCATTTACCACTGGTTCGCAAAAAAGCCTCCGTCCTGGGAGGTACCAGCAAGAAACCCAGCGGGACTATTTTTTTAAAATAACATCTTAAAATCATGCATGCAATATATTATTAGATAGTTAGATAGTTAGTCTAGTGATAATTAACGCGATTGCTGAAAATGTAGTTCGAGTTTTTTTTATAGGATAAGTTTAATAAAAGCTCTGTTTAAGCAGTATTAAGTTGCTATGTTACGCTGGAATTCTGTGAGAGCGTGGTCCAAACCCAGTTTAGCCGATCCATTCATGATACAACCATGATGTAGCCCACTTTCGGTGCTACTGCGATAAAATCGTCTTTTGTTTCATAATTATAGAGCTAAGATGTAAAAGTCAGGCCACTTGCCGTCAGGTGGTTGTTCCTTTATCACTACTTTTATATAAAGTAATATATATATATATATATATATATATATATATATATATATATATGTATATGTGTGTGTAACAGAAGAGCAAAGTAATATATAAATTGAAACTCGTGCAAATGCAAATGCAAAAGCGTTATATCCTAAGTACAAGACTCCGTAGGCTCTTTTTCTTTCCTATATTGTTTTTAGAGATGCGTTACTACCCGTAAGCACTTATTACGCCACATGAATATAATGTAAGTCAATAATTACTTCTTATTATGTTATTAAAAACATATTTCAAAGACATGTGAATTTCGCCAACAGGTATTGGAGCAGCACGAAGGACATTTCTTTGTTCTAAAACCCTCAAACAAGTGAGAGGTCTGTACCCAGCAGTGGGGTGTATATGGGCTGTAACTAACTAACAACTATTACTTACTTTACCTATTGATTACCTTTCAGTTTCATGTGCATTGTATTTATTGGCGATTAATTGTGGTTAATTAAGCACACACATAAATATCGTCATCCTGTATAGTTGGCCGTATGAGGAACCTCAAGGTCGCTCAGCAACCTACGAAGAAGGGTATGCTCAGGGATTTTCTGCGTGGTCCATGAACAACTGAAGCCTAGAGACCAAGAGTCATGCTGCAGCTATATTACTGGTACAGTTGTAGCACTAATGGGTCAGTTCGACCTAGTAAAGACCACGCTCTCACAGAATACCAGCGTCAAATAGCAGCGTAAAGCTGCTGTGTTTCGTTTGGTGAGTGTAGAGAACCGGATACCCTTTTTACTGAAAACGAGGCATACCATCTTAGTCCTCATGGTTGACAACGCATTTACATCTTTAATCGTTATCGAGGATAGATGTAGATATCAACCCCTTAAGAGGATATAGTAAGTCAGCTCAAATTCTAATTTCGCCTCCACTTCCTCGCGCGTCGTATGCTATGTACCGACATGTTTGTAATCACTAATACTGTAAGTAGATAGGTCGTTAGATACTTATTTCATTAGGTTTATCATATTTATGCCTGTTTCTTAACACCGACCCAGTCGCTTCTTATTTTTATTACGGTTATTTCCCATTTTAATTTTACGTCGTCCTGTTGCGTAATGTGTATTCTGATCGTAAGCGACACAACCTCCACCTTCAAAGGCCGAAGCGAAACTGACCGGGCGGCAGGAATCAAGCTTCAAGAGGCCAATAGTTTAGGTAATTTCTTTTTACAGTGAAAATATTGGTATTTAAAAAAAGTAAATAACATAAGCACTGCTTTATAGTTAGTTCAGTTAGTATGCAAAGTTTCATGATCTTATTTAAAGTATTTTATGAATAACAGCGGTTTATTGTTTATTTTGTAGGTAACTTTGGATTTTTTTTTCTACCGAGAAAATTTTACGGAATCATGTTTTCGTCTAACATAGTCCTTAACACTAATCCTCAACTTTACCATATATTTATTTCAAAATTAATGCTGCAATATTTTCGGCATAACGGAGGATCTTGCTAAGCCATTTGAGGTTATATTTCCCCTTAACTTTAGACTATACCATCTCTTTATGTACTTTAACCTATATGTTATATATTCTCTAACTGCCAACTTTCAAAACCTTATGAGTTACTGAACACTATCTGTCATTGCTATCTACATCGTAAAACTTATAAGTTTTGGTAGGAATCCCGACACACTTGCTGAGGCTAGGGATTAGTTTTAAAATAAAATATATAATATATATAATATTTCATTACATTCAAAATAACTGCAAGAGCGTTAAGAAAGCAAAAGCTAAGCAACGCAGCTATAAGCCGTATTTTCTTTTACTTTCTTTTAAGTTTCTTATCTGTCATAATACTGTACCTACAGCGGTGCGAAGGATAAATATTGTGAGATAATATTCTTGGAGATCCCCCTCGGTAAATATTTTCAAGTTTCTTTGTGCTACATTAACTTAACTTTGGATTCAAGCGTGGGATCGTTTGTCTGTTTTTCTTTTGTTAGGCGGCCAATTTGCCGAGTTGTTGATTTAGGCACGGACCGTTAAATTGGCCCAGGTTTGACGACGCCCCGCCTTTAAAAACAATGTTTTACACAAACGCCTTGTTTTTTCTTGGGAAATTTGTTCTCAAGTGATACGATTTTAAATATTTACTGAGTATAAATTTTCGACTTTCAAATATTAATTAAAGTTCTTCATATTTTATTACAGCGAAAAGGAGTTTTGGAAATTGCCGTGATTTACCTTTTTTTTAATAGGATAAGGGTAGACTCCCTAGACGAAAGTTTTTTGACCAAATTGGCGATATATTGAAAACAGGCCAGATTGAATATACGTAGATATAGATGTAAAGGAGGCGAGAGAGTTGTGTCGGGATCATGCCACCTATAGCTGCCTACCCCTCTACTATCTTCTGTCTTGGTGACAGCCGCAAGAGCTTATCAATAAGATTATAAATAAGGATGCCAAAAAACGAACATACAGTCAATCTGATGATAAGTGGATACTATGGGCGCATAGACATCTACATCTAACTTCTGTTAGGAATAAAAATGCGGAAGTGTTATCACATCTGAGGATTGACATAGAATGCCTTATTTCCAGTAAAGAGACCTCCGTTTCTCTACACTCACCTTATGAAAAAAGCAGCAGAATGTGCTAGTTTAAAGTTTAAGTTAAATGTCCTACCACGGTTCAGCCGACCCTTCGTGCCTACCAAAATATTGCTATAGCACGGCTCTAACACTTAAAAAACTAAATTTTGACTTTTCCTAAGTAATTCAACCTTCCCGTATTAGGGTAAAACGATCCGTGTTTGCCTTTGTTATTAATTCCCCGTTATTAAAAGAGCGTCCCAAATTGTCACACAAATATTATGTTCGTCCCAAAGATCCAACATTTCGTTCATGTGCAAAAATATTTATAATATCGAAAATCGTATATTTATCATCACAATAATAATTTATCTTCAAAGAACACAACAAAGCACGGTCCTGAGTCACCTACATCCATATCCATCGACTTTCTGCATCTCTTACCAGGCCGCCCTACATTTCGCTTATCGGTGCGAGGTTGTCACTCGAAAACCTTTCTTCCCCATCGGTTGTAGGTTCATAGAGCTATATGGTCAGCCACTTCAGCTTACTAACCCGTTGCGCTATGTCGGTTACTTTGGTTTTACTGCCGATACCCTCATCTCTAAGTGTGCCACGCAGAGAATCCCTGAGCATACCCTTCTTCGTAGGTTGCTGAGCGACCTTGAGGTTCCTCATACGGCCAACTATATAGGATGACGATATTTATGTGTGTGCTACTTATTAACCATAATTAATCGCCAATCGGTATAATGCACATGAAACTGAAAGGTAATCAATAGGTAAAGTAAGTAATAGTTGTTAGTTAGTTACAGCCCATATACACCCCACTGCTGGGTACAGACCTCTCACTTGTTTGAGGGTTTTAGAACAAAGAAATGTCCTTCGTGCTGCTCCAATACCTGTTGGCGAAATTCACATGTCTTTGAAATATGTTTTTAATAACATAATAAGAAGTAATTATTGACTTACATTATATTCAATTGGCGTAATAAGTGCTTACGGGTAGTAACGCATCTCTAAAAACAATATAGGAAAGAAAAAGAGCCTACGGAGCCTTGTACTTAGGATATAACGCTTTTGCATTTCCATTTGCACGAGTTTCAATTTACATATATATTACTTTGCTCTTCTGTTAAACACACACACATTTTTATATATATATATATATATATATATATATATATATATATATATATATATATATATATATATATACATATATAGGACGACGTAAAATTAAAAT